CAGGTCACAACCTGCCCTTGCCATGCGACCTGGTCCGCGCATCAACCAGTGTGCTCACATGTCCCTGCCTTGCACTTAGGGCGTTTCCAACGTGTTGCAAGAGGATTTCGGCCCAAGTTGGATCTCGACTTCAGTAACTGAAATGGCACACGCACGTCCGGTACTAGTAACGAAATCCAGAATGCACAAAGTCCGGCATTCTGTCCAAAATGCAGATTTTTTGCGTCTGGTGGTGTATGAAGTTGAGATTTCCGCCAGAGATGTGTGTGTTTTACAAACTATGCTCGATCCACTCACAAATAGAATTTTAAGTCGGCTTAAAAGCAGACTACGCACGAATACAGCCACAGAAATTCGTCTCGTCATAATGGACACCGGATCGCAGTCTCGTTTCGCGTGTAAGAACAGTGGAGCATGAAGTATTTTTGGTATGCGAATTGTCACTCGTCGCGTGACCCAAAGCCACTTTGGAAACGCCCTTCATCTCTTCCTTCCTCCCATCCTCTCACCCGCAATCTTCTTCTCTCTCGCCTCTCACCTGCACTTCGAGAGGGTCGCAGTCAGCAGGGTGCGACCTGATCTGCACGTCAACCAGAGTGCTCACTCACATGCCCCTGCTGCTTCTCACACTGACCGTCTCACCTCGTCTACTTTGAACTAGTTCTACCCTCCCCTCCCCTCCCCTCCCCTAGTCTCCTCTCACCTGCACTTCGAGTGGGTCGCAGTCAGCAGGATGTGACCTGATCTGCACGTCAACCAGCGTGTTCACATGCCCCTGCTGCATCTCACAGGTCACCCACTCCCGCAGTGTCATGTCATCTCCCGCTTTCTCCCTCTCCTCCTCCTCCACCTCCTCCTGCTTCGCCTGCTTCTCCTTCTCCCCCCCCACGTCCTTGATCTCCTCTGTGGCGCCCCCCTGCTCGTCTGTGCCTTTCCTGCCTCCCCCCTCTCCGCTCTCCTTCTGGTCCCGTTGGTCTTTGCCACTGCCGCCAGTGCCTTCGCCCTGGGGTTCACCTTGGCTCATCGGCAAGTCGAAAAGGCTGCTGCCCGCAATTAACTCGACCAGCAGCACACCGAAGCCAAACACATCAGACTTCTCGGACCACTTGCCAGTAGCGTACACCTCTAAAAGGGGGATAGCAGAAAGCGGGGCAAAATCAAGAGCGGAGGGTGGTCTGAAAATGCTGCAGCCGACATCACCAAGAGCACTTTCGGGTCGTGAATACCTCTATAAGGGGGATGACATGACAGAACAAGGTTGAGAAAGAAGAGGCAATAGGCCAGAACCACAAACGTATAAAGAAGAGGCAATAGGCCAGAACCACAAGCATATAAAGAAGAGCAACAGGCCGGAATCACAAGCGTATAAAGAAGAGGCAACAGGCCGGAATCGCAAACGTATGAAGCAGAGGGTTAATAGGCCAGCATGAAAAACGTATAAAGGAGTGCATATGGGACAGAGCAGATGTGCCCTAAGGTTCCACCCCAGATGTGTTGCTCTTGCTGTCACTTTCAGATGTGCTGTCACTTGCATTGCAGATGTGCTGTCACTTGCATTGCAGATGTGCTGTCACTTGCATTGCAGATGTGCTGTCACTTGCATTGCAGATGTGCTGTCACTTGCATTGCAGATGTGCTGTCACCATACGTGGAGCGAGGTGCCCTAGGCTTTCCCGCACTACCGCCCCTGCACCGCCTCTCTTGGCAACAAAGAATACCCTGACCGCGAGGCGCTCACCTGGAGCGAGGTGCCCTAGGGTTCTCCGCACTGCCGCCCCTGCACCCCCTCTCTTGGGAATGGAGGGTACCTCCACCTCCACCAGCTTCGACAGGCCAAGGGCAGAGAAGCTACTTTGAGCAAAAGGTGCTTCCCTGGAGCTTGAGATCTTACCTGGAGCCAGGTGCCCTAAGGTTCACTGCTGCCCCTGCACTGCTCTGCCCCTCTGGGCGATGGAAGGTACCTCCGATTTCACTAGCCAGGACAGGCTTTACCTGGGAAAGGGCGCATCTACTGGTACCATACCTGGAGCGAGGTGCCCCAGGGTTCCGCGCACTGCTGCCCCTGCACCCCCTCTCTTGGGAATGGAGGGTACCTCCACCTCCACCAGCTTCGACAGGCCAAAGTCGCAAATAACCGGATCGTTATCCTTCGTTAGAAGCACGTTCTCAGCCTAAAGAGGGAGGTGAAAGAGGAGGGGAGTCAAAAGCGTAGGAGGAGAAGGGTGAAGAAACAGCTATTCGACAGGCCAAAGTCGCAAATAACGGGGTCGTTATCAGCGTAAAGAAAGGGAGGGGGGGTGAGGTGGAGGAGGTGAGCGTAGGAGCCTTGAGAGGCAAAGACACAGCCGACCGGGTCGTTATCCTCCATTAGAAGCACGTTCTCGGCCTAACGAGAGGTCAGAAGGAGCGAGAATGAGAAGGCAGGGAATGAACGGATGAGAGTGCTGGGACAGGCTTAAGTCACAAATGACTGGAACGTTGTCCGTTTTGTTAGAAGCATGTTTTTCTGGCCTTGAGAGGTAGGGGAGGTGAGGAAAGGTGGGGAAGGGAGGTGAGGGAAGGTGAGGGGAGGTGAGGGAAGGTGAGGGGAGGTGAGGGAAGGTGAGGGGAGGTGAGGTGAGGTGAGAGAAGGGAGAAGAGTGGCACAGAGGGAGAAGATGGCTTAGACAGACCACAGTCCATTTTTGAGGCGCCTCAAAAATAGACTCCTAAAAAATAGACTCCTCAAGATGGCGTGGACAGCCCACAGTCAGTGATGACCGGGTCGGTGTCCTTCAGAAGCACGTTTTCGGCCTGAAGGGGGGGAAACGGGGGGGGGGGAGGAGGGGGGGAGGGGAGGGGAGGGATAGATGATAGAGAGTTTTGACATATAGGCTGTCAAACCCAGTTTTGACATATAGGGGAGGGATATAGTCACTGATGATCCGATCGTTGCCTTCCATTACACACCCAGTTTTGGCCTTTGGAAAGTTACGGAGGTGGGAAAGGAGGGGGGGGTGAACTGGGGTAGAGGAGAGGGGAATGGGGGGTGGATTTTTTTTAGGGAGGGAAGAGAGAATGGGCCTGGGGGTGGTCCGTGTGCATGTATGCGAGCCCCTCTGCTGTGATTGTAGTCTTGCACTGAGCCTGGGGGTGCAGTCCGTGCGCATGTGTGGGAGCCCCCCTACTGTGTATGGGAGCCCCCTTACTGTGTATGGGAGCCCCCCTACTGTGTATGGGAGCCCCCCTACTGTGTATGGGAGCCCCCCTACTGTGTATGGGAGCCCCCCTACTGTGTGTGGGAGCCCCCCTACTGTATGTGGGAGCCCCCCTACTGTGTGTGGGAGCCCCCCTACTGTGTATGGGAGCCCCCCTACTGTGAGTACTGACTCACCTTCACATCGCAGTGAATGAGCCTGGGGGTACAGTCCGTGTGCATGTACGCTAGCCCCTCCGCTGTCCCCAGCACTATATTCCGCCTGTGCTTCCATGTCAGCGTGGTCTTGTCCCTCAGGCGGCCACCTGGCAGGCAGTGTGCGTGGGGTGAGGAGGGATGTGAAGAGAAGTGACGCAGCAGAGTGATGCTACATCCGTATTCCTCCAGCCCGCAGCACTATATTCCGCCTGTGCCTCCATGTCAGTGTGGTCTTGCCCCTCAGGCGGCCACCTGCCGTGCGCGTACCGGGCAACGTGGGGAGAAGTGGAAGGTGACAGGGGAGAAGAGAGGAGTCGAGAGGGGTGAGAGAGGCACAAATGAGTGGAGGAGAAGAGAGTCGTGATAAAAAGATGGGCAAATGCATCATAGCACCACCAGAGCCATGTGCAGGAAGAGAGCACGAGCAAGAAGGGATCGTGGAGGATGAGAAAGGCAACAATCGCTGCTGCTCGCCCTTGGCCTGCCTGGGGCAAACCAATCCTCCTCTTCAGATGTTATGGCGATACCAGACCAAAAAAAAAAAAAAAAAAAACGATTCCTTTACTCACCTTTCAAGTAATCCGCCACATACCCATGCGGCAGGTAGGGGAACATCAGCAGCCGCTCTCCCTTGTCCACACAGAACCCCTCCAGCCTCAGCAGGTTGCGAGTGAGAGCACTCTCTGTCCCCCCCCCCCCCCCTGTTCTCACCTTTCAAGTAATCCGCCACAGACCCATGCGGCAGGAAGGGGAACACCAGCAGCCGCTCGCCCTTGTCCACACAGAACCCCTCCAGCCTGAGCAGGTTGCGGTGCACGGCACAGCTTATAGCGTTCACCTCATTCACAAACGCCTCCTCGCTGCCTCGTTTCTCCTTCTGTTGTTGGCACACAGGAGGGAATTAGGGTAGGAGGGGAGGTACGGGAAGAGGGGAGTAGTGGGACGGGAGGGGGCAGACAGAACTTCTCCATTCTGAGCAGGTTGCGGTGCGCGGGGCGACTTCACCTCGTTTACAAATGCCTCCTCGCTGCCCCGCTTGTCTTTCTGGTGTTTGAGGGGGCAGAAGGGGGAGGAGGGGGGAGATGGTGGACTGGAGGGGACATAAAGAAGCCCTCTAGTCTGAGCAACGAGGTGACTTTTGAGTCGACTCAAAAGTCACCTCGGGACATAAAGAAGCCCTCCAGTCTGAGCAGGTAGCGGTGCTGAACCCATCGCAAGGCGCAAAAAAACGACATTTTTTCAAAAATTGACCGTATGGTACGGTACCGAAGGTTTCGGCCGTATTATACGGTTAAAAACGGTCAGAGTGTGCTTTTTTGTGCTGGTGCAAAAATACGATCGTTTTTTTCGATCGTATTTTTTGCACCACCATGTAGACGACGTATATCGGGTCCATGTTTCTCACCGAGTCGAATTCGTTGTGTGCAAAATGTTGGAATCATGTCGTCGCGAAATGTGTCCGAGGCGCGCATCGAACGAACTTACGAGCCGCGCATTGAACCTAGTTCGCAACACCGTTGCGAATTATATTCCCGCTTCGCCAGCGGAAGCTGATGTTGGAGGACACGTTCTGGGAGTCGGTGAACGTCGTCCTCCGCCTCATGCTTCCGGTGTATGAGGTGCTGCGGGCAGTGGACAAGCGGTCGCTGCTCATGGGCAAGTTGTATGGTCTCATGCTTGAGGCCACCATGAAGACCAACGAGGCGGCAAGCGCGGCCGGTAAGCGACGCACTCTCTGTTCTTACCTTTAGCCTAGGTGTTTGCGTTGTGGCTGTACGCCCATTGTATGACCCGCGTACCATCTCTCGTGCACACCCGCCACCCCAATCCCCCTACTGCAGCCACCTTCTTTTTGAAGAAGACAAAACTGCTCGAGTCAAAGGATCGGTCGGCATTCATGGTCGACGTGAAGCGGATCATCGCGAGGAGGTGGGATGGGCAGTTGCACAACCCCCTCCAAGCGTTCGGGTGGCTTTTGAGCCCCCTAAACCAGTTCTCGGGTGATGTTTCGGGTGACACGGAGATCCGCAAAGGGGCTGACCTCGTGTTGGAGGCACGAGAGGACGACCCCGGACGACGGACGCTGCTACAAGCACAGCTAGCGGCCTTCCACAAGGGGGCGGGGAAACTGGGGGGGAAGGACGCAAGGTGGGCTGCATCCACACTGGTGGAGAGCGGCAGGATGACAGAGGCGGAGTGGTGGCTGATCTACGGCGGGGAGGTACGACACCTGCAGGAGGTGGCTGTGAGAATTCTCTCACAGACGGTCACGTCGTCAGAGGTCGAGCGATGGTGGTCGGCCATGGCTCGAGTTCAGCGGCGCGACCGTAACAACCTCAGTGCCAAGACTAGGATCGATGTGACCTCGGTCGCCTTCAGCAGGCGCGCCAGGTCAGCATTCGACCAGCAGCAAGAGGCGCGTGCCAAGTTGTACGCTGACCTTGCTTCAAGAAAGCTGAAGGAAGGCTGCAGCATGCCACAAGGCCCCCCAGTGGAACCCGAGGTCGCGGAGCAGGAGGAAGGGCAGGATGCGGTGGCGTGCGCCATTGATTGGAGCACGTTTGGATGCTCGGCCGGGAGTAAAAAGAAGAGCTCTTTGAAGAACCGGGCAGGGAAGAGAGCTAGGAAGAGCAGCGGAGGAAAAAAGGGCAAGGGGAAGCGTGCCGAGGAGGAGGAAGAGGAGGAAGAGGAAGAGGAGGAAGAGGAGGAAGAGGAAGAGGAGGAGGAGGAGGAGGAGGAGGAGGAGGAGGAGGAGGAGGAGGAGGAGGAGGAGGAGGAGGAGGAGGAGGAGGAGGAGGAGGAGGAGGAGGAGGAGGAGGAGGAGGAGGAGGAGGAGGAGGAGGAGGACGAGGAGGAGGACGAGGAGGAGGAAGAGGAGGAGGAGGAGGACGAGGACGAGGAGGAGCAGGGGGAGGAGGAGGAGGAAGAGGAAGAAGAGGAGGATTAGGAAGTGGATGCCAAATGGAGGAGGAGTAGAAGGAGAACGAGGAGGGTAGGTGGAGGTGTAGGAGGAGGAGTAGGGGGAGGAGAAGGCCGAGGACTGGGAGGAGGAGTAGGGGGAGGGTAGGTGCTAGTTAGAGGGAGGCGTATGGTGTTAGAGCTCTGGTCATTGCATTGTAGTGCGAATCTGGGGGCGCCTTGACGGCTAGAGGTCTCAGGGAGTGTCTTGTGCTTGTCAAAGTCGAAAAAGAAGTTTTTTTTTGTAACAGATTTTCTCAAACAAAAAAACGGTGTCTTTTCCCAAAAATGCCGTAAAAAACGATCGTATTAAACGGCCCGTTTAAAACGGCCCGTTTAAAACGACCACCGTTTTTTTGCACCTAGACCCATCGGCATCACTTATATCATTCAAACCCCGTACCCCCCTTCCCCCAGCAGCTGATTGCTGCTGAACCCATCGGCATCGCTTATATCATTCAAAACCCGTACCCCCCTTCCCCCAGCAGCTGACTGCTGCTGAACCCATCGGCATCGCTTATATCATTCAAACCCCGTACCCCCCTTCCCCCAGCAGCTGACTGCTGCTTAACCCATTGGTTTCCTTTCACAGTCCCACAGCCCTTTTGGACTCCGATCAATCCTGTGTCCCCCCCCCCCCCCCCCCCCAGCAGCTGACTGCTGCTGAACCCTTTGGTTTCCTTCCACAGCCCTGCAGCGCGTTTTTGTCAACTCAGAGCTTGCCTTGAGCAGTTCAACCACCACTTGTGTGCCGTCCTCCAGGCTCCCTCTGCACACCAGCCCGTACCCCCCTTCCCCCAGCAGCTGGCTGCTGCTGAACCCGCTGGTAGCCCTGCGAAGGCCCTCCAGAAGTGCATTCTCAGCTCACTCCACTCCATTCACCTTGAGCAGTTTAACCGCCACTGGAGCACCGCCCTCCAGCATCCCCCTGTTTTCACCAGCCCGTACCCCCCTCCCCCCAGCAGCTGGCTGCTGCTGAACCCATTGGGTTCCATCCACACCCCTGCAGAGCTTTTTGGATTGACTCACAACATACCTTGAGCAGTTTAACCGCCACTTGCTTGCCGTCCTCCAGCGCCCCTCTATACACCAGCCCATACCCCCCTTCCCCCAGCAGCTGCCTGCTGCCGAACCCCCCGGTCGCCTTGCGAAGGTCCTCCAGGCGAAAACGCTGCAGCTGCTGCAAGTGGCCCAAGATCTCCTCTGCAAGGGGTTAAGAGTTATACGGGAAGACGAAACCATAACCAAGTGAGGGGTCGACTCAAAAGGTCCTCCAGCCGTAGTGGCCGCAGCTGAAGTGGTGAGTACCAAGGCGACTGAAAGAGTCCTACAAGTGAAACCGCTGCAGCTGCTGCAAGTGGCCGAGGATCTCCTCTGGAAGGGGTAGAGAGGTGTAAGGTGCGGGAGGATAAATAAGTCGTGAGTGGGGTGTGGAAGTAGTGAGAGGTTGAATCAAAAGGCCCTCCAGGTGAAACCGCCTCAGCTGCTGCCAGTGGCTAGTAATCTCGTCTGGAAAGGGTAGAGAGGCGTAAGGTGGGGGAGGATGCATAAAGAAGTCGTGAGGTGAGTAGTGAGGGGTTGACTAGGTCCTCCAGGCGAAACCGCCTCAGCTGCTGCAGCTGGGTCAGGAGCTCCTCTGGGGGAAACAGCAGAGCTGCAGAGGGTCAAGCAGTGAGGGTACAGTACAGGGAGCAGCAAACGAGGAGTGAGGAGGTGAAGGGTGAGGGGGTGAGGGGGTAGAGGGGGGGGGGAAGGGCGGGAGGGTACGAAAGAAAGAAGAAGGGATGAAGAGGGAGATTAAGGAAAAGATTAAAGGAAAAGAATAAAGGAAAAGAATAGAAAAAAAAGGGCGACCACATGATGGGTACATGGAATACCACGCCGCATTCGCACTCACATCAATGTGATGCCGGTCGCGAGGCACCTTACAAAACAACCCTACTCCCCGTGCAAATCACCATAGCCCGCCCCCCCGGCCGCTCTTACCCCCATGTCCCGCTCTCTCCCCTCGTCTCTCCGTGACCCGCCCCAACCCCCTTCTCACCATGCAACGGATCAACCACCTCGCCTATCTCCAGCCCTTTGCTCCCCACAATCTGCTGCATGTTTTGAGGTGCCTGCTGCCTGAAAGCAGACATGCTCCCTCCCAATCCCTCTCCCTCTCACCGTGCAATGGATCAACGATTCTGCCTTTCTCCAGCCCTATGCTCCCCACAACCTTCTGAATGTTTTGAGGTGCCTGCTGCCTGAAAGCAGACATGCTCCCTCCCTCCCAATCCCTCTCCCCGCTCACCATGCAACAGCGCAACCACCTCACCTTCTCCATTTCCGTTCTGCTTCCCTTGATAATCTGCCTGTTTTGACGTTAAACAAGCCGCCTCGCCTCCCAATCCCTCTCCCCGCTCACCATGCAACGGACCAACCACAGGCCATCTCCGAGCCCCCTCTCCCCGCTCACCATGCAGCGGATCAGCCACCTCGCCTAACTCCAGCCCTATGCTCGCCGCAATCTTCTGCATGTTTTGAGGTGCCTGCTGCCTGAAAGCAGACATGCTCCCTCCCTCCCAATCCCTCTCCCAACTCACTCTCTCCACCCGTCTCTCTCCACCCACTCTCTCCACCCGTGTCTCTCCACCTACTCTCTCCACCCGTCTCTCCGTGTCCAGCCCCGACCCCCCTCTCACCACGCAGCGGATCAGCCACCTCGCCTTTCTCCAGCCCTATGCTCCCCTTCATTTTCCGCTGCTGCTGCTGCTGCCGCCGCCACCACCACCAAACACCAATCAGCAGCAGAAGCAGACAAGCTATGCCGGCCACCACTCCGCCTATGATGGCTGGCAGAGAGCTGGAGGAAGCTGGAGGGGGCGGGCTTTCCTGGACTGGTGCGTTGACTGGCGCTGCTGATGCAAAGTCTGAGCTGGGGCGTTTGGGGACAAAGAAAGCAGAGAGGAGGGACAGTCACATGGCACCAGTGAGTGAGAGTGGATGAGGGAAAGCAAAACAAGAAGCGGCAGTCATATCATGGAGGGAGGCGCTTGTGGCAAGGAGGCGCGGTTGGTTGGACTGTTTGTGGCAGCAGTTCGAAAACCGCAGCAAGAAGGTTTTATTGAGGCGCCTTAAAAGTCACCCATGGAGGTGCATAGAACACAGGAGCCAGAGGGAGCCAGGGGAATCACTAAAGGCACCTGCCCATCGGTGGTACGTACGTCTGTGGGAAAGAACACAAACAGGCGCACTAATGGGCAGGCGTACCTGATGGGCAGACAAGATTGGAGTTGCCCAGAAACCTGCAGACACGTGCCAAAGGTAACAAGGCACATCAGAAACAGCAAGAATGTGTGTGAAAAGGCGTCGCCCACTGGCCAGAGTTATTGAGACACCTCAAGAACAGACTACCCACAGCATTGTCATCATTTCTCGTGCCTTGGTTCTGTACTCACGGTTCGCATGTCTTCGCCTTGAATGCCGCGGGTATGGTACCAGACAACAGATTGTTCTGCAGCCGCCTGCACATGGCAAGGGAAGGTGGCATGGTGAGGTAAGGAGGTGACTTGGAAAGAACAGCAAGAGACGAAATAAAAAACATGCAAGCATCAAGCACCATCAAGAAGTGCCTGACTACTACGAAGCCACGAAATGCGCCGAAATGCACCAAACAATAAGATCTCAGCGCACAGTGCAAGCCCACAGGTCAGAAACACGGGGCTAGCTACCTACAGCCTTGATGCATCCTGTTTCCTAGTTTTCTGCTCGAGAGCAATCTCTTGAGACGCCACCAAGCAAACTTACAGGTCAGCAACACGTGGTAGGCTCCCAACAGCCTTGATTGTCCCTGTGAAAGAGTTGCTGCTTAGATCCAGCACCCTCAGATTACTCAGTTCGCCCAGTGCCGCCCACGGCTGCAAGGAAGATACGAGTGAGTGAGAGAGTGAGTGACAAACGAAGTATAAGACACCCGAAACGAACATCCTAGCTCCCTCAGACAGAGAGATTGAGTGACGACAAATTATTATACTGAGGAGCCAACAGCCCCAAAATAAACATTCTAGCCCCCTGAGATTGGTCAGATTGGCCGGCGCATTCTACGACTGACTGCAGTGCAGACGGAGGGTCGAGCTTTTGCATCGACTCAAAAAGTATATTGTCGATGTAGAAACCGCGGGTAATGAGTCTGCATTTGAGTTGACTCAAAAGCTGATTGGCCAGCGCATTCTATGGCTGCTGCAGATGGATGGAGGGGTGAGCGGAAGTAGAGATGTAGCCTGTTCGGGCAAAGCAGGTTACGAAGAAGAATCCAACACGCACATGCAAGCACGGCCAAAGATTTTGATATGGAAGAAATTGAGACATGCTAGAAGAGACACTAAGGCTCACTCACCACTTCACCTGTCAGATTGTTGTTGTTGAGATATCTGCACACATGCACACATGCAGGAAAGCACACATTCACACGCATGGATACATGTACACATCGACACATTCACACAAATGGATCCATGCATACATTGACAAATTGACATACATGAGAAAGACACACAAGAAAGAGAGAAAGTGTGAAAGCAATAGAGAAATACGGACCACGTGAGAAATTGAAGCGGAACTAGGCATAGAGACGGGCGAAGGTAAGATGTTTGATGGATCGATGGCATAGCTAGCAACAATCTACATAACGAGGGTGGAGTATACTAGCAATTCTTGTAAATAAGGGAAGAAGCGGATGTAGGGGCTGAGGGAGCCGTCCAGAGGTGGTAGAGAGACGAGGCCAGGATCTGCATTTGAGTCGACTGGAAATCAGGTGTATTTTGAGTACGTTAAAATACACTGGGATCTGCATTTGAATCGACTGGAAATCAGGGATGGATGGGGTGTACTGACAGCTCTTGCAGATAAGGAAATATTTTTTAGTCGACCAACAAATCGGGGATGGAGTGTACTGACAGCTCTTGCAGATAAGGGAAGTAGCGGATGTAGGGGCTGAGGGTGCCGTTGAGAGGTGGAAGAAACGAGGCCAATATGCTGCGCACAAGATGAGTGGGGGGTTGGGAGAAAAGTGGACGGGATCTGAATAAGAAGAATGTGTTACAGGCAGTAGGTGAATATGCCTGACAATGTTAGAAACGCCATAGACAAATATAATTCACAAAACTTTGGAAAAGAGCACTCATAGGCGAGAGAAATACCCCCGTGTTGCAAGCGAAAGGAGGCAGCAGGCATGGGTCTCTACCATAGTAGACCATGCTCCACTTGTCATAGTTCAAGTTGCCAAAAACCTTCAGCACGCAATTATACAGTAACGAACGAGGTCCCATACACACGCACAGGAGGATTGTGAAACGGTGACTCACAGGCGAGTCACATAACCCTCTGTGTTGCAAGCGACAGGAGGCAGCAGGCACGGGTCTCCACCGTAATAGTCCATGCTCCATTTGTCGTAATTCAAGTTGTCAAACGCCTTCAGCACGAAGTTGTACAGGTAAGGCCCTGATTAATGAAGGTTACGCGGGGCCAAAGGGCCAGGGAGCCAGGGGCCAGGTGAGAGGGTGACTTGTTATGAGTCAAAGTAGTCCATGCTCTACTTGTCATACTTCAAGTTGTCAAACGCCTTCAGCACGAAGTTGTACAGTTAAGGCCCTGATAAATGAAGGTTACACGGGGCCAAAGGGCCAGGGAGCCAGGG